CCTCATTTCAAGTTTTTAAATTCCCGCACTGCGCGCTTCCCGTCCGTTTGAGCGGGTACTTCCCGCCCCGCCATTCCCTCCGCGAACCGCCCGTCAGATTCCACCTCTTGCCTTGGGCCCGTAAACGTTATGCGCTTGTGCTACCAGGCTGGGGTTCCGCCTCGTGCGCCGGCACCAGGGGCAGCCTGTTGAACCTATAGGGATCGCGGCGATGGCTGGCAGGTCTGCGGTTTGAACCGTAGGCCTCCTTTCCTCCACCCCTCCTAAAAGGGAAAAACAAAAAGCGAAGCCCCTTTCCGCAAGGCCTAAACGACCAAATCAAAGACGCGAAAAAGAAGGCCCTCTGCACCCCTCACCACCCCTCCTAAGGGTGAAAAACAAAAAGCGAAGCCCCAAAAAAAAAAAAAAAAAAAGCGAAGCCCCTGTCCGCAAGGCCTAAACGACCAAATCAAAAACGCGAAAAAGGAGGCCCTCTGCACCCCTCTCCACCCCTTCAGCGAAGACCCTTTCTTTCCAGAGGAAAAAAATAAAATGAAAATGAAAATGATCATCTCCATTCTTTTTTCTTCTTTTTTTTTTTTCTTTTTTTTTTTAATCATCTCCATTCTTATCAATGCCCTCGCTCCACTGCTCAATCAACTTTCTGCATGAAATTCAGGTGCATTCCGACGAGTCCAACATTTTGAATTTGAAATTGAATGTATCGGTGCCATCAACTGGTCCAGGTACATGTGGACCACTGGGTAACCACTGGTGGAGCGAGCCCCATTCAGGGCCTACTCACAGTAGCACTTTTTTAAATGTCTCTGACCGCAAATGCAGCCGGTAGCTGGATGCATCTACCCCCAATCACGTCTAGAGCTGAGCCCAAAAAGTCCCAGTGACCGAGGGACGTAACTCACTCAACAGTTGCTACACCACTGTGACCTGAGGGTTTTTTTTTTCTTTTTCTTTTTTTTTTCTTTTTTAGCTGGGACCTGAGTTCGAGCCCCGCTTGGGCGAGGTCCCACTAGCAAAGAGGATTGGATAAACGCCCTGAATGTGGACGTGTTTTAAGCAGAGATGCAGAAAAGCAGTTCAATCTCGATTTTGTGCAACTTTCCACAGAAGAGTCCAGATTCAGGCTTTCTATCCAATCCTCTTTGCAAGTGGGATCTTGCCCCTGGAAGCCGATATAAGTAAAATACTAAAATTCCACATTTATTTAATTAAAAAAAAAAAAAAAACCGAGTCCTCGTGTGAAT